TTTTATTTATAAGGATAAAAATTATTTTAGCAAATACTGTGTTTGTAATTAATATTTATTAATTTACATGAATAGTCGAGAAATCTCGCAGAAAATATGCGTCCTCCAACAGGAATCGAACCTATATCCCTTGCGAAACCGTCATTTAGCCTGATGTGCTCTTAACTGATTCAGACACTGAGGACTCCTGCTTTATCAAATTTAGGTAAGTTCGACGACTTTTCTCGATAATTCTTTTTGGCTCCAATACGTAATCTCATGTAAATCATGACAGCATATTATATGAAATGATTTAAGTCCAATAAATATTTTAATAGATTTTCTGTTATAGGTTATTTTTATGAATACATCTTATTTGAGTAAATACTTTGCTTTTAATTAAACTGTATTAATTACATTTACTTGTCTGTAGGAGGACGCCTATTTTCTGTGAGTTTTCTCGAATATTCTGGCCGGTAAAAGTCGTCTGGTAGCCGTGGTTTAAACCAATGACGATTTTATTGATTAAATTTACTCTTTAGAATTTCAAGATATTTTTGTGTAATTTTGGTAAATATATCTGTTAAAATTAGATGTCAGTGTTATTTTGATTTTTCCGTAATTTAGACGACGATCTATCCATCTCACTATGCATATATGTTGTGTGAGTATAATGTGTGAATTTATCCCTCTCACCATGTATGTATACTTGTGTTCTGCGGCTGATTGCTCCTAGGGTACCCTAAATTATTCAGGCGTTAAATGCCCACCAAGTGCTTGATATATTTTATAGTAAACCATCCAACCAAATTTCCGATGTGTAAACGTAAAAATTTACACTGCGCTGTGTTATTTCATAGAACTGTAATTTCTCTAAAAAGTTGATCATATCTGACTCTGCAATTGTCCATTCTAGCTTGGTATGGTAGAAGAAATACCTTCCGGTTCAAAATGCCTAAAGTCCTTGTCTCAGACACGCGTTTTCCACCCAATCAACCACAATTTGCTCACGCAATAGACACGGCGTGTCTTTACCGAAAAATTGCATGCTTTTCTTCTTGTTTGGCTTTCGGTGTCCGTCAATGCGCGCTGTGAACACCCGATAGCAGTAATCGTTTCTGTCTGAAAGATTTTGATATTTACTGAGTCGTGAGTAAAAATCTTTGGTTTAGCAACAGCATTGACGTAATTTTCAGAGATTAGCATGGTTTCCATTCAAGCCGGATTAATGCAGCGCTGTTGCAAGAAACTGCATCCATCAACATTTGGCACGCACGCACCTATTGACGCAAGAAAGGAATTTAAAGGCATATCTGCATGCGAACACATAAAAGTGTTCAAATAGTTTTATTCAACTCCCGACTCGCAAAGTTTGAGCCCGTACAAGAACGATGTATGATCCAGTGTCAAAATTAACCAACTCTCCAAGAGCTACTTTTAACGATATAAAACTATAGATTTCGGGATAATATTCTGTAATATACACCATAGTATCCGGCTATTTTTTCTATATTCTAACTATTTACACGATTTACAGGATGGTCTGGACGTCTTGTCAACCCCAACACCTACGAAAAATTAATGAGATCAAAAGAAGAACAAGTAATACAATAATATAAAGCCGCTATCAATTACTCCATTACTTAATGGATATTGGTTCAATTTGAGGAATCGGAGAGCCGAGTTCGAATTCCAGTCGAATCCCTTACATTCACTTACGTGCTAATAATACACTTGGGAAAGGCATGAATCCTCTTTTTCTCACCCCAGCCATAGGTAAATACCAGGACAGACCGAGATAGCAACTGGTCTACCACAAAAAGAAATGGCAAACTACTGCGGGAAAAAAATCTGCCTCGGCAGTCATATATCGAACGATACATGATCGCCTAAGCGTGTATCACGCATGGCACATAACTGACACTAAACTTCCAGTCAAATCCATTACATTCACTTACGTGCTAATACCCATGGGGAAGGTATGAATCTTCTTCTTTTCCCCCCAGCTATGGACGGACCGGTTGGATGACGACTGGTCTAACGAAGAAAGAATTGGCAACCTACTATTTTTATTGTCATATGCTAGACCACTAAAATTTCCTAAGCGTGCCAAGATAAGACATGAATACAATATGGAAACCAGTAACACAGAGTGCTAGAGAAAACAACAATAACAAGAAATTGTAATATGAGCTCTGATAAAAAAAATGATAACAAGGCATTAGATCTATAAGTAACAAAAACTCATAAACTGATGTCTCCAAGATGAATAAAAGTGTTTTCTGAAATAATCCAGTGATTTGATCCAGAGAGGTGTGAGTTCAATACATGGTTACGGCAGAGTTGAAAAAATCTTAGAGAGATGAGTTAATAACTGAAAATAATTGAAACTGAAATATCCAGAAATGGCACGGCACGTGGAACTAGATTAACCTACCGCGGTAGATAAAATAAAGGTTTCGGCTCGAAAGTCTAACGTATTTCACCTGAAAAAGGACAGAGCGTACAACGACAGAAACGTCGTGAATATAACAATAAAGATAAGGACAATAGTCCGAACAATGTAAGTTGTTTAAATATACCATATTGTTATAATTTCTGTTTGGTGGGGGGATTGGTTGTTAACATCACACATAAAAAGTGGCACATAGTGCCATTCAATGAAATGTTCTACATCGAAGACAAATGTAAATTCCTGTCTAATATGCGACTTATTATTAATAATGTGTAAATTCGATCGCGCTCGCCCCTATATAAATGATCCGATGAAATTATTTTTATAATCGCACAAGAAAATCATATCAATACTGAAAGAGAAAAATAAATCCAATGGTAACTAATGAAATTACACGTTGATGCTACCCGGGAAATAAGAATAGATTTAAGTATTTATTTAAAAATATATATTTTTTGTGATAAATGCTTGACATGAAATATCGGGAAAACGTATGGGCGATAGGAAACGTAAAAATTATTTGGTTGTATATATTTTTTGTTATTTTCTTGATGATTTTTGGCTCCTTTCATAATCGAAAAAAAAAACTAAGGAAAATCATGACCCTGGTACCTCATCGCCTTCAAAATGCTTTATTCAGTTAAGAAAATATAAGTAAAAGTTGAAAATCCTTTATTCTAAATTCTTGAGTATTTCGGATTTGAGAATACAGGTATACCTCGGGTTACGTCGTTTAGAGTTAAGTCGTTCTCGGTTATACGTCATTTGTCAAAAAATATTATTATTAGCAGAAGAGGATTCATACCTTTCCCAAGGGTATTAGCACGTAAGTGAATGTAATGGATTCACTTAATAATGGATTCGAACTCGGCTCTCCGATTCCTCAACCCAAGCCGCTATCCATTACTCCACCTGTAATTGCTGTCTGAATTCCTGGGAGGTGGTGTTATCATTATTATATTTATAATAATCTTTGTTGTTATGACAAAATTTCAGCCGATATGCCCTCTGAACTTAATCAAGTGTATGTCGGAATAATCTATCCCCTCCCCCGTTGATTAAAAGAAGGCTTGAGGTGGAAATTCCCTGAATATTACTCGGGTTTACACATACCAGATGCAAAAGAGCGCATACACAATCACGCAGACACACGCGTATATGGCCGAGTGGGTAGACCATATTCTGACCAAGAGAACCGGGTACAAATCTCACCACAGTTGATTTATCTGGAAGGAAACTTCCTGATATTATCCGTTGGGGGGGGGCGATCCCAGCGTGTGGCATTTTTGGAAACCATGGCACTCATGTGTGAAATTCGGTAGACGGAACACTTGGTGGATCGTCGATAGCTGTGCTAGCACGAAGTCACAAGTCATCGTGACCGAGGGTTTGAGTGTGCTGGCCTTGTTGATTACGCTAGATGACTCTCTCTTTCTCTCTCTCTCTCTCTCCTCTAAACTGTAACATAGTTGCAGTATAAACCACAGGTGGGCTCTGTGGGTGTTGAACAAACAAAAATGTGTCTGAGCGAGCGTCTGAATTAGGGATTGGCTAGCCGCCCTATTAGACGGGTATCCATGAATACGATTGGACAGTTATTATATATATATATATATATATATATATATATATATATATATATATATATATATATATATCTCTCTTTCACTTCATTACTTCCTTTTCTCTCTTCCTTTCTTCTCCCTGTTTCTCTCTTCCTTCTTTTTCTAACTCCCTTCCTTCTCTCTCTCTCTTCGTTCGCTCTTTCACTCTTTCTATTCCTTCTCACTTCCTTCCTTCTCTTTCCCCCTTCCTTCCTTCTCTCTTCCTTCCTTCTCTCCCTTCCTTTCTTCTCTCTCTCTTTACCTTCTTTCTTTTCTTCTTTTCTCCATTCCATCTCTCTCCCTCTCCTCTTTCGTCCTTCCATTTCTCTCTTCCTTTCTCCCTATACCTCCCTCTTTCTTTCTTCTCTCTGTCTGTCTTTCTCGCTCTCTCTATTCCTTCTTTCTCTCTGTCTCTTCCTTCCCCCTCTCTCTATCTGGGTCATCCCCCTCACCAGCTCGTATTTAGAATTATCTTTTAGACATTTCTTTTTCTGTGAAACAGCAATTTTATTTCGCCTCTATTATTGATCGTCCTGAGTTTCGCCTTCAGCGTTTATTCATGGTGATTCCTTTTCCACCAGTTGAAATATTGAAGCTATTCTTTCAGAAAACAGGATAGACCATCCCTTCATGCTTTTTGGGTTTGGAGAAGTTCAAACCACACACACGCAGACACACTCACACACACGCACAAACATATATATATATATATATATATATATATATATATATATATATATATATATATATATATATAAATCGTATAGATTTCTGTTTTAAGCTTTATGTACCACTTGTTTTCCGTTTACCATTTTGGTCTTGAAAGGTGTTCGGTATCTATCCAGTGCGCACTTCTTTAGATTGTGTGTTTGTTTTTGTTTTTTTTTTATTTTATTTTCTAAGAGAATGAATAAAATGGAAGCAGTGAATTCACCAGTGATAGGAGTGGGGATTAGACTTCTTCAGTTTTGGATGTCACGAAGTCGGGTTCGTTTTCTGGATTCTTTCTTTCTTTTGTAACGAAACATGCAACGGATAAAGACAAAAAAAACATAAAGTGAAAGGAACGCCAAAGGAAACAATAAAAAAGTAAATCGAGGACTCGAAGATTTCGCGGGAAGAAGAATGAAATGGAAATATGTGGGGTTGGCGGCAAATGTTGTGGTGGTGGTGAGTGTTGTGTTGGTGGTGAGTGTTATGGTGGTGGCAAGTAGTGTGGTGGTGGTGAGTGTTGTGGTGGTGGCGAGTGGTGTGGTGGTGGCGAGCAGTGTGGTGGTGGTGAGTGTTGTGGTGGTGGTGAGTGGTGTGGTAGTGGCGAGTGGTGTGGTGGTGTGTGCTGTGGTGGTGGCGAGTGGTGTGGTGGTGGCGAGTAGTGTGGTGGTGGTGAGTGTTGTGGTGGTGGTGAGTGGTGTGGTAGTGGCGAGTGGTGTGGTGGTGTGTGCTGTGGTGGTGGCGAGTGGTGTGGTGGTGGCGAGTTGTGTGGTGGTGGCGAGTTGTGTGGTGGTGGCGAGTTGTGTGGTGGTGGTGGTGGAGAGTGTTGTGGTGGCGAGTGGTGTGGTGGTGGAGAGTGTTGTGGTGGTGGTGGTGGCGAGTGGTGTTGTGGTGGTGGTGGTGGCGAGTGGTGTGGTGGTGGTGGTGGCGAGTGGTGTGGTGGTTGTGGTTACAATGCTGGAAAGAAGAGCCCTGTCAAGAAAGTGCCATGGTGATAAGGCTGAGGAGTTAGGGTGGGGGAAAAAAGACATGTTATTTAAATAAGTAAAATGGGAAGGGTTGATAATGAAAACGAAGCGGGTAGCGGGAAAAATAATATTAAAGCGACAATTATTAAACTGAATGGACGTTACAGATGCTTGGTATGAAGAGAAAATAGTAGTAGTAGTAGTACTAGTGTTAGTAATAGTAGTAGTAATAGTAGTGGAAGAACTACAAGAAAAAGGAAAATGAATGAATGAAACATGGCTGTTGATAAATTATAATAATGTGAAGGCATTGAGAAATGAAAGAACCAACAAAGTTTACGAATAAAATAAAGGGTTAAATTTTCAACGAAACTCGTTTTATTGATAATGAAGAAGAAAAAGATGAATGAAGGAAGGAAGGAATGAATGAAATGTGGTTGTTGCGAAAAAGAATAATAAACAGAAGGTAAGGAAATGTCAAAGAAACCGGAAATATCTTTTATTCAGGTATTAAGATTTGTAATGTAATAGAAAACTAATTTTGAAAAAAAATGGTTTCATTAACACTCAAGAAGAAAGTGAAGATGATGAAGAAGATAACGACGACGCCGACAAAAAAGAAGAAGAAGAATGTATTCTTTGGTTTAGATTGGTTTGTTTTTTTTTTGTTCTACGGCATATCAACCTCAATGGGTTATTTAATGCCGACAACATTTTTAGGATAGATTTGTATGAATAGAATATGTATTCTTTGGTTTAGATTGGTTTGGTTTTTTTTGTTCTACGGCATATCAACCTCAATGGGTTATTTAATGCCGACAACATTTTTAGGATAGATTTGTATGAATAGAATATGTATTCTTTGGTTTAGATTGGTTTGTTTTTTTTTTGTTCTACGGCATATCAACCTCAATGGGTTATTTAATGCCGACAACATTTTTAGGATAGATTTGTATGAATAGAATATGTATTCTTTGGCTTAGATTGGTTTGTTTTTTTTGTTCTACGGCATATCAACCTCAATGGGTTATTTAATGCCGACAACATTTTTAGGATAGATTTGTATGAATAGAATATGTATTCTTTGGCTTAGATTGGTTTGGTTTTTTTTTGTTCTACGGCATATCAACCTCAATGGGTTATTTAATGCCGACAACATTTTTAGGATAGATTTGTATGAATAGAATATGTATTCTTTGGCTTAGATTGGTTTGGTTTTTTTTGTTCTACGGCATATCAACCTCAATGGGTTATTTAATGCCGACAACATTTTTAGGATAGATTTGTATGAATAGAATATGTATTCTTTGGCTTAGATTGGTTTGGTTTATTTTGTTCTACGGCATATCAACCTCAATGGGTTATTTAATGCCGACAGATTTTTTTGTTGCCGGTAATATTTTTTTCCAAAAATGTATTTCTGGTAATTTCTTTTTTTTAAATGTATTGTTGGTAATATTTTTTTCTTCAAAAATCTGTTTCTTGTAATATTTTTCCTTCTAGAATGTATTACTAGTAATAACTTTTTTCGAAAAATGTATTGCTGGTAATAATTTTTCTTACAAAGTATGTCTGGTATTAAAATCTATTTTTACACTTTCACAGTATTTCGAATCCAGTCTGGGGGGTTAACTATTTGCCCATAACTGGGACGCTCACGGGTGCTACCACCCCGTGTCAGTGTGGACCTGGGAACACCGGCAATTAAGAGGTGGTTCTACGCTCCTCAAAACCTCCTGATCAGAGGCCTTGCTGCTGGATGTAGTTTATCGTTTTACCCAGGACGCGGAAGAAGAAGAAGACGGAGAAGATAAAGAAAGAGACATAACAAAACAGGATAAATTAAAAGATGACGAAAAACGAGAAAAAGATAAAGACGACGACGAAGAAGAAGAAGGAGATGATAGAGAAAGAGAGGTAAGAAAACAAGATTAATAAAGAGATAAAGAAAAATGAGAAAATAAAGACGAAGACGAAGAAGCAAAAGAAGAGAAAGAAGAAAAAGAAGAAGAGAAGAAAACGGCGAAGATATAGAAAGTGAGGTAAGAAAACAAGATAAATAAAAAGATGATGAACAAGAAGAAAAATGGGAAGATAAAGACGAAGACGAAAAAGAAAAAAAAGAGAAAGAAGAAGAAAAAAAGAAAAAGAAGAAGAAAAAGAAGAAGAAGAGAAGAAAACGGTGAAGATAAAGAAAGAGAAAAAGAAAACAAGATAAATGAAAAGATGATGAACAAGAAGAAAAATGAGAAGAAGATAAAGACGACGAAGAAAAAATAGAAGAAAAGAAGAAGAAGAAGAAGAAAAAGAATTAGAAGAAAATAAAGAAAGAGATGTAAGAAAACAAGATAAATAAAAAGCTAAAGAAGAATGAGGTGAAATATGGCAGAGAAGAAAGAATATTAGAGTAGCAAAATGACGAATATGAAAGAAAAATGAGAATGAAGAGAATAAAACGATAAAAAAGAAAAAGAAGAAAAATATGAATCGGTGAACAAATGAAGGAATGAATGAAACGTAGTGAATGTGAAGTAAAAGGAAACAATTTACTTCATAACGATTTAAGATTGGAAATGTAATGGAAAACTAATTTTGACAAAAAATAGTTTAATTTCAAACCAAGCTCGTTTTATTAACACTCAAGAAAAAGGAGAAGATGATAAAGAAGAAGGTAATCAGGACGACGAAAAAAAAAAAGAAAGAGTTGAAATACAACTAGGCTCGTTTTATTACCACTAAAGCAGGAGAGGAAGGCGGAGAAAGTGAAGGAGATGAAAATGGTTAAAAAGGCGAAGAAGGAGAAGGTGAAGAAAATGAAGAAGGTTAAGAAGGTAAAGAAGAAGATGGAGATGGTTTAGAAACAGACGAAGAAGAAGAAGAAGAAGAAGAAGAAGAAGAAGAAGAAGAAACAAAAGGAAAGAATAATAGGAAGAAGGAAGAAAGTAGTAAAAGAAAAAGAAGAAAGGGAAAATAGCGAGAAAAATTCAGACAAAATGTTTTTATTTTTTTCATTATTAACAAAATATTACGCAATTTGATCTTTGTGAATATGCATACAATTTTATGAAGACCTTGAAACTGTCCCAGAAAAGAAAAACACATTTTGAGACTAGATGGAAAATAAATCAAGAATTGACAATATTTCGACATTGGATTTTTTGAAATTATCAAGAAAACTGAAGACAATTTTTGCCTGTATTTTCTTAGAATGAAAATATGAATTTCCATATGTTTTTGTTCGGGCTAGGCTTTTTTTTTCAGTAAATTCAACCCGAGGCCTTCTTCGGGTTAATCTTTTGTTTTTATTTTGGAATGTTGCTGAATCATATTCTGGGAGAGTATTCGCATTCCCTTTCATTCAGGTCACGTTCAGCTTCTTCTACGTATCTCTGCTATGTAGACTTCTTCTCTATTCCCGACCTTCGTGCTGACCTTCTGATATCTCCTCCAGTTTCCTACGCTCTTTCATCTCACTGCTCGTGTCTCTGAAAAAAGCACATGCATTCTCTTCTCCCTGTTGATTAATGGACACTGCAAGCTACTAATATCGATTCCCGGGTTTCCAAGAGTTCTCTGAGCCAAAGAGGTTGAAGATTCCTTGAATCCCTTTTTTTCCCCTTTTACTTCTTGGAGTGATTTCTTTCTGACTATTATTATGACCTCATTCCTCAAGGGGTGGTGTGCCCTCTTTATTTTTAGACACGGGCATTCATATCAAATTTTTTCCATCAACTGAAAACTCCTTCATATTTTAATGAAATATTCCCACAGATGCCGTAAGAAAATACACTTATAAATAATAACAATAACACCACCACAAACAACAACAAACAGCATTATTAATACTCGCAGGTTATCTCGACGTGGAGTAATGGTTAACAAGCATGTTTTGCTAGAACAATTATGACTGAGTAATGCGTTCGATCTTTCTGGCTGTCTGATATTTTCAGCCTTGTGCAACTTCTAAGGTACGTTTATAAAACAATTTAGGCAATTTATATATATATATATATACATATATATATATATATATATATATATATATATATATATATATATATATATATATATATATATATATATACACTGACAATCCGCGTAGGTGAAACCTAGGTGTGTTTGTCTGGCTCTTTAGGTTTACTTAGTTTGCTCTACTTTCCTTAGTTATTCTTAATTTATTCGTGCCGAAGGTTTTTTTCTTTAGACTCTGAACTTTAACTAGACGATTATTTTCGCTGGATATACATGTTCTTAGTTCTTTCTTTTTTTACATTTTTAAAAAACGACGAAATCAAATTCCCTGCATCTAATTCGTTATATCCCTGACTGTACCAGCAGATCAAAGAGTAAAAACGAAAAACTTTAGTTGTTACAAAATCATTAGAAACAAATAAGACATACCAAAAAAAATTATCAAGAAAATAGTTTTTTTAAAAAGATTTGTGAAGATACTGAGGAAGGTCCCATATTCTAACTTTCTCTACCGATAAATAACACCCATTTGATCTAAATACAAGAAATCTAATTCTAAAATGAATTCTGCTTCGTCCGGGATCAACGTCAAGTATCTCTTCTCCTCATTTGACAATGGAAATTGCACCAGGTCCCGAAGATTCCTAGCTTGAGGCAGTAGCTTCTTCATTGCAATAAGAAAGCCAGGGTCGGTTGCTCATTGTTACACCCTCATCGATATTAACGATGCCGATGTAACAATGAGCAAGTTTTGTCCTCAATTCATATGTACGCATATGGACACCTTACGTTAAAAGAAAGATATTGTGTTACATCTTACACCCGGGAAGTTGTCAGGAAAATACACCCCGTTTTATGCACCAATTCCCTTTACAATATCTGTGATCAAAACTCTCGACATCTTCTCATTTGCTACTCAAAGATACCTTTGACCTTTAATCATCCGCCATTGTCCTTGTTCTTACATGCTTTCCCACATTCTCGTTAACTTGCCCTCTCTTTCTGTTTATTTTATTTTCGGTATATCCTTTGAGTGTTGAATTTTCTAGGCTCTCTTTCCTCTTTAGATATCCCACAGATTTTAAATATCT